TCACCGACCAAGATGGGGATTTGATAGGGTCAATCACCATTGTTTTTTCCCTAGAAAAAATCGCTAAGCTGCTATAAATCTCTATCATTTCCCTGGTTTTTATCACCAAAATTGCCGAAATTATCCCTATAAGTTCCCTATAAATCACCATGATATCATCTATGAACGGGACACATATCAGGGAAATTCATGGGAAAACTCTGATTTCTCATGTTTTGACATGGTGAATTCCATGACGTTTTTTTTTTCCAACATTTTTTCTTGGGGGGTTTACCTGGACCTGTGGAACTGGAAAAGTTTGGGGTTGAAGATGGGCCCAAACATTGCTATTTTCTGGGCATTGTTTGCATGGCCATTTGATAGATGTTTCATGGGATATAATGAATGGGATATAGAAACAACTTGATATATGGGTGTGTCGAAAAATGGGTTGTATACCCATACAGTACTCGCCGTTCTACTGGAACTTCTATGTTCAGATATACCCAAGTGGGGATTTGTGTTGGCCAAACGATGATTTTATCAGAAAAAAATGCCATTCATGAGATGATTGAAGCAACATTATGGGGACATGGGACATAATATGGGATATACACAACCAACAATGCGGGAATGGTTCAAAATTGGAAACCCTTCCGAAATGAATGATTGAATACTCAAGATGACGAAAGAACCCTTGTTTAATCTTACGTGTTGCATCTATTTATTTTTGGACCCTCAAGTTGGGAGTTATGTAAATGAATTGGGGTAAGGGATTTTGTTTTGATGGCTGAATTTGGGTTACATTGTTCGTGATATATCCCATGATATGATTTTTAAAATAAGTAGTTGCTATTTGAGATTCACTTGCCCATTCTGTACCATTTTTGTACACCTTTTTCCCTGTCTATCATCATTGTATCCCATGATATGCACTTGTATCCCATGATATCCGTTTATACTGTATTCAATGTTTTCTCCCAATACATCCAGTCATATCTATGGTTCAGGGATTTGTATTCCATTTTCAAATGGTTTAGGAATTTTTATCCAATCAAATTTTGCACTCACTCTTTTCTCCCGATCCATCCCATTTTTCCCCCATCATTCTCCACATAATCGTTGGTTCATTAAAATTACCCCAAAAAATATGAACTTGCTATATCACATTCATTTTTGATGAACCTCTAGTATTATTAGTTGACCAAAGGTTTTTTCATGAGTTCTACTGTTTTTTTCGTTTTTTTTCCAAGAGAAAATAATTTAAGTTTGGCCCTTCCCAAGGTGGAACAGCGAGTGCATTTTGTGGCCAAGCAGCCAGGGAGCGTCAAGGTGACGCTGGAAGGGGACTGACTTGGTGAAGGATGGGGCAAATTTCGAAGCTTTTGAAAATATGGAGATATAAAGGGGATGATAGATATCATTTGATTTCCTATGACTATCATATGAACATCTAGATGAAATCTATTATCCCTATGATTATCCCTATGATTATCCAATTATGATCCCAATATTATTCCTGTTTACTGTACCCTTTGGTAGATTATATAACATATATAGACGGTGAAAAAATGTAGTGGACGCTAATCTTCCAACCCCTATGTGACAGGGCTATGTTAGTTTACTGGAGGGTAATGGGGATATAATGAGGATATATGGTTTGATGGTCAACCAACAATTCATGGAATTTAGTGACACAATATTTTTTAAGGATAAATAAAGCCAATCATAATGTGGATATAACGGGGATATAATGGGGATATGATCGCGGGAAATTCAGTTGCAACCCCGCGTCGCAACGCAACGTCAAAACGCAAATGATGGGAACTGTAAGGAAACTACCCTCTGGTAACCTAACATAACTATGGAAAGATCCACCTTTTTTAATGGGAAAATCCACTATTTCAATGGTCATTTTCAATAGCTATGTAACAAATTGCCAGAGGGTATCCCATCATAGCTTTCTTTCATGTTGGTGAAGTACTACAATTCAGCCAGACTGGAGGTCTTGAAACTTGATGCACTTCAGGGCTTGCCTTGTCAGTTTAGGTCGCTTGAGCAGGGTGTACCCTCCCAACATGGCGTTCTGGAAACCGACCCATTTGGCGATGCTTCATTTGGAGGTAATTCGTCATGTCATGGGGAATCCCAAGTCACCATGTGGTGGATTTTTCAGCGGGCACTGAGGACACCGGAGGGTATAGATATAGATAGATACATGCACCTAGAAGGCTTGGTTTTCAGAGGTTTTTTTGTTCAATCCTGGGTTGACATCACATTATCCAATTACTTGTTGATCTATAGATGATATTGTTGACTAAGATTGAGCCTGGATCATATTTTATCCACTGATTGATCATGGCAATATCAATGATGATGATAGCAGACGCAAAAAAAGAACACGAGAAAGATAGTAACGACACTAATCTAATGGTAATACGATCGTAGATGATCATAAATCCATACTCATCTCCAATAATCCTAGATATATATTTCCATCATGTCCCATGATTTTTCCATATTGATGGGGGAACATCCGGATGGTTATCTACAACGATTCCACGCAGTCCCACGCCCGCTGAGCGCCCAGATGACCATTCGGCTGTTGAAGTGGTGGAGGGACCAGCAGGACGGTGGGAATCGCACATAGCTATGGAAATCCATCTTTTTCATAGATAGCTACTGGCTATTAATGGTTAGATTGGTTAGTACTGGCTATTAACCTATGGGATTATATATAAACCATAAAATGGGGTTAGTACTTAGTACTCATTTAACTCTGGTTGGTGGTTTGGAACATGAATGGATTATGACTTTCCATTCAGTTGGGAATGGAATAATCCCAACTGACGAACTCACTCACCACCAAGCAGAGGGGTAGGGCTTAACCACCAACCAGTTGTTCATAGATAGCTATGTTTTTCAATAGTTTATTGAATCATACCTGCGGAAATCCAGCTTTTCTGCGTTTATTGAAATCATCTATTGATTCAGAATATTCATAGCTATGATTTTCAATAGTTCATAAGAATAGCTGAATAGCCTTTGGAAATAAACACAGGAACATTTTAATGAGCAGGTAGAAATTTTATGACTCGATTCATGGAACTATTTATGTGTTTCCAGCTTTATATTCTACCATTTTATGGAATTCCATCTACAAACACAGCTAAATTTTCCATAGCTATGCTTGATTACCAGAGGGTAACCCCCACGGTTTAGGTCAATATATCAACCACAAAGTGTAGTTAATTCTCCTAAGGGGCCACAGATTTTAATACCAATTTTTAGTATTTGAACATCACCAACAGTCGAGGATGGATCCGGCAATGAAGATTTGACTGCCTGAAAATTGGAGTAACCATGAAGGACATGGTACCCTCTGGGTATGACTAACAGTTCGCCATGGAAGCCATGGCCCATGAAAAAACCTGGGTTTACCTATTAAAAATGGTGATTTTCCATGGCTAAAGCGGTTATGTTAAATAACAAGAGGGTAATTCAAACAACAAAACATGGACATTTCATCAGGAATACCTTCTGGTAATTTGACATAGCTATAGACAAATCACCATTGTCAATCGGAAACTATCTACATACAAAAATGGGCAATTTTCATGAATGTTCAATAGCTATGTTAAACTACCAAAGGGTAGTACCTATAGATTCCCCATTACTTCGATGACAACGATGATTTTCCCAACTTGTTATACTCCAGAAATGTGGAGATTGAGACCATCCCAAAGTCCTGGCCGGTGTGGAGTTGCTGTCTCCGCGTCCGGCAGCAACCGTCACCATCAGCCATTGTGCTTTTTCATGTCTTTTTAATGTCCCATTCAGAGTGAATTTGCCAAGTGAGTTTCAGACCAACGGAAACCATTTCGGAGGCTTCCTCAAATAGGGGTCCCCCATTTATCAATCCATTTTGATAGGATTTTCCATTATAGACCATCCATTTTGGAATATCCCCATTTTAGGAAACCTCCATTTTGAAACCAACGGTGTCCCCAAAAAATTCCAGGAGTGGTCAGCTCCTCTCTATGAGCCGTCGGATGAGATTCTAGAGCTGTTACTGGGGCAGAAAGATAGATCTGGCGGGGGTTTAGGTCTATCACGAGCAACAGATATCAACAGATGAAGGATTTCTAAAGATGGTTGTTTAACAAACTACCATTTGGTTATTTAACATAGCCATGGAAAATCACAATTTTTAATAGGTAAAGCATCTATAAATGGGCCATGGCTTCTATGGCTATGTCAAATAAGCAGGGGTTAAGTGGATAGGATACCGATCAGAATGGTCCATTTGCTGGGATTATCCTGCACTTCTCAAGGAGTCGGATCGGAATTGCAGCGATGCTTCATCCCGTATCTTGTAGCCACATGCTATGTAGTGCTTACCCTGGTTTTCACGTTTACAGAACCATGGAACGATCCACCATGCTATCAATGGGGAAATCCACGAAGTAAAGCACCATTTTCCAGTTCGCAAACTCTTAGTCATTACCAGAGGGTAGTGCTTACTGGTTTTTTCTGCTTGGTACAGGTCCCGAAAGGTGAACGCTGGGAGTTGATCGTGATTCACTATGGAACACATCTGGGAACACTCGACTCGCCGATGCAGCCATTTGGCACTTCGATGAAAACATGAGATTTGGGATGCCAGCTGAGAGTTCAGCCAGCGACAACAAGTTGACAAGGACCCGGTCCTGAATATATTGAATAGGATTTTTCAAGGGATAGGAAGCAAACCACCTGATTTTTTAAGAGTCGAATTCGGATTTCAAACTAGTCAAGTTGAAGGTGAAGCATGAAACAATCACTGGTTGGTGGTTTGGAACATGAATGGATTATGACTTTCCATTCAGTTGGGAATGTCATCATGTCATCATCCCAACTGACGAATTCACTCCATCATTTTTCAGAGGGGTAGGTATACCAACTACCAGATCAAACTGAGCGGCTTTGATTTGCATCCAATGCTCAAACCGCAACTCCTCCGAGTTGTCCAATGATGGCTCATGGAGGCGCTTATGGTGAACCGCCACACCTGTGGGATTTTTTGGGGGGTACCTAAGTCATGAATCCTTCCTACAATTGGCAAGTTATGAACAACTAGTTTCAATGAGGTGTATTGCAATTTTTTGAGGAACGCCCAGAACACCCTAAATTGAGCGATTGGAATATCATTACGCATCATTGACCCTGCAACTCGAAGTTTGGCTATTTACGAAATAACCTTTGGCATCCCAAGTTGAGCACCATCTGGTTTCTGAAAATTGGGGTAGCCCCAAAATATGACAATTTTCGATGGGATTTGATGATGAAACACAGCCTTATTTTTTTCACTCGCAGGCCAAGGTCTATTGGATCGACGTCTCCTTAAAGAAGATCCAAAGGGTGTGAAACTCAGATGATTTTTTCACAGCTCCATGGCTAGGAAGTTCGTCCCCCGTCCCTTTTAGTTGGGCATGGCTAGTCAGCATCTATAAATGGGAGATGGCTACAGTCAGCAAGCCATGTGACTGATTTGTAGAAGGTACTCAATAAATTGATCTCCCCAAGTGGATGTCTGGATTTTGTCCTTAACGCAGAAATGTCAAGGGTTTTCAGCTGTCTAGTTTTGAGGTGGCCACAGATCCTCTCTGATTGATGACTGAACGACTATCTTGGAAGGACCTGAAAAGCTTTCAGATGACGCAAATTCCTTTTGAGACAATGCCATCCTTTATATCTATGGAGAGTTTTCCCTATAAAACATGTGTGCAATGCTCAAAACATGTTTTGTTTCTGTTAAATCCCATATCTATCATAGAAGGGGATGGTCATGAATATTCATCGAATCAATCCATTGAGAGATAGATATTTTATAGACCCATTCAGGATAGCTAACTTGGTAAAAATCACTATGATACGTATGAATTCTATTTCGATGGGGTTATAAACCACCATTCACATCACTGGGGGGCACCTGTTACAACAGTGTCCCATTGGGACCATAGAACATCTGGAGTTTCCCGAAGGCCAATGTCGATGGTTCTTGTGTCGCAACTTGGCGACGACTGGACAGTTCTTTGACCGACCCCAAGGGTTTGGACCCACTTGATGACCAGTAAAACGTCACCCCAAAAACGAGATGGTGTCTACGAGGTGGTGCAGATTGTAAGTTGGTTTAAAGTTTAATCTGATGAAGCTGTAGATTTTTTTTTTCTATCATAAACCCTGGTGAAATACGAGTTATGTTGGCCAACTTAGCGATTCTGAACCGGGCACCACCACCCCGTACTGAAGGGCCGAAAATCCACGGGTCTCTAGGTCTGGTGAGTCTAGTACTTGAGTACCTCTCCCACCAGAAAATTGCAGAAACGTTTTGTTGCTTAGTACATCCTAAAATCCGTGGCTTGGCCCCCTAAAATCCATGTTTTACATTAGTGTTCCAACCTTTTTGATAGAAACATGGATTTTAAACCCCCAAGAGTGGGAGATGTGGTAGTTCAAATTGCCTTTTCTGGCATAGTTGCCGGTGACATGCACCAATTTCAAGCATTCGTAGCCATGTGAGTTTGTCCAAAAAAAGGGTGTAACCCAATATATGGCAATTATAAAATTGAAGATGTTGTCCGCAACCTTAACGTTCGCCCAGACTCATGATTGTGACATAACAGAACAATATGTTGATTGGGGAAATAACATCAACTTTATCTTCATGAGGGATCAAAATTTGCCACCCCCTGCCCCTCTGAACAATACGTTGATTGGGATAATAACATCAACTTTATCTTCATGAGGGATTAAAAATTGCCACCCCCTATGACCAATGTTGAATGGGGTAATAACATCAACTTTATCTTCATGAGGGATCAAAATTCGCCACCTCCTCAGAACAATATGTTGATTGGGGTAATAACATCAACTTTATCTTCATGAGGGATCAAAATTCGCCACCCCCTATGACCAATATGTTGAATGGGGTAATAACATCAACTTTATCTTCATGAGGGATCGAAATCAGGAAGGCGGGACTCAGGGCAAACGTCCAGGTTGCAGCGAAGATGTTTTGCTCAACCATAAGATTTTGGAGGCCACTATTTTCAGGGAACCAGAATTCAACAGGTATTGGACTCTTCCATATGTCCTCTGGAATTCCATCAACACGGACTTTAGTGAGACCATCAAATCTCTGTGGCGGTTGCTGTACAACTTCAGACCATCCTTTCCTCTGCCCTTTGAACATACATTCCATCCATCGTTTGTCCATTTGATGGCATTTCGTAGCTATTTTTGGGTTTGTTCGAGAAAACGGTACCCCTAAATCAGCCTAAATCCACTGGTTAAACATCATTTCCCTCTTCAAATTGCAGTTTCTGAGGAATACTCCACAAACGCCAAACGAAGGACATCCATAGAAATCCCTTTTTTCTTCTAGTTTGCTCAAGTTTGCTCAGCTCACAATTGTTTTTTTCCCACCGATCCTTTTCAATTTAAACCACAAAAATCAACTACATTCCACCGATTTTCCTTCGATTGTTGCAAACTTCCCCAACATGATGGTCCAACGTCAAACGCCTCAAGAATCGCTCCAAAGTTCATCTACTCTACATTTTCCTCTCGAAACTTGGTGTTTCCCAAAATTTTCCCATGGTGAAAAATTCAGCCTCGCAAAAAACATCTTTCGAACTCCTACTCCACATTTTCCTCCAAAAAAAACTGGTGTTTCCCAACCCACATGCTCCATATGTGGAATATTTACCAACATCTGCCCTAAAAATCACCCAGGTTTGTAGGTAAAAATCCCATACATGGAGAATATGGGCAAGATTTCCCAAGGAGGACGTGGTCAGTGACCTTCCCAGCCCCTCGGCTCTGGCCCTGCAACCGGGTGCGAAGTGTCAGCTGCTGTGGAGCGATCTGCAGCTGCGGCGTGTGCTGCGGCGCAGCGCGGAGCCAGGGGAGGAAGAGGTGGAGGTGCTGGTGGAAGGCGCCACGGGTGCCACGGGTGCCACGTGTGCCACGGGTGCCACGGGTGCCACGGGCTGGGTGGAGTTGGAAATTTTTCTCCAAGTTTCCACTTAGAAAATGGGGGGTTGGCAAGAAATGGGCTATGTTTTGTAGTTGATTTAGCTGATAAGATAGTGAAGTTGGTCTATTTCACTAGGTGAATTGGCTATGGTTTATGGTGGATGTATAGAAGTAGATGGGTGAAACCAAACCGAACTCACTGGGGGCACCACCTTGATTGTCTATAAAGGGGGGAATTTCACCAAGGGAAAGACGGTGTTAGCCAGCAAACATGTAGTTGTCACGGGATTATAAGGGTATAAATTGGTTACACATGGCTACAATCTTAGGTTTTTTGGCCACCGAACATGAAGTTATTTATCGGGGCTGTTTTTCGGGATTCTTCAATACATGGTGGGTATTTCAGAATCAGACATGTTTTTTTTTAAACGAACAAACCATGGGATTTAACCTGGACTATTTCAGGATATGCTATCTGGTGAGATATTCCGGGCGATGTGCAGATTTTCGTTTGGATCAATACCAACACCAGATTTTGTGGATTTTGCCCATCAGAAATATAGGAGGCCGGTGCTCTGGATGAACGAAGTGGACTGATTCACTCATCATTAAAGACAGAATCAAAACCTTACCTACTGACTGACTTTCATATGTTCCATAGGGGTTGAAACCACCAACCAGCTATCTATGTTCTACAACATTTCTTTTTAAGACAAGAATAGATGTAGCAGACACATCTAAGATTCACGATGTTGTCTAGCTTCACCCAGAGAAGAAAATTCAACCGCTGAAAGGCCCTTGATCACCATGCTTGCTAATCACAGCTAGTAACTCTGTGAATATCACCATAATTGTGTCGAAACCTCATTTGTCATGGTCAAGAAGCTGAATAGATCTATCTTCTCATTTTTATGGATGAATTTACATGAATTGTCCAAATTTCATGTCACCACCCGGATATTTTTCTTTTGCACCGTGGTTCATTGAGAGTCGGGGGCATAGAGACAGAACACTCTCGTGATGTCGCGGTGAATTGTGGCTCAAGAGTGGCAAGTTGCCGAGGGAAGTCTCCACATTTTTTGGATCCAGACATCCAATCTCTGCACGAGAGGGGCCCCATGTGTGTTAAGTGTTGACCATGGCACATGTGACGCACATGTGACGCCACGATTCGTGCAGTTCCGACATTTCTCAGCTGTCAAGGCTATCACTGTCATACTGGAGTGGATCACTGTCATACTGGAGTGGATTGACACCACAATTTCAATATCTAGAATCTAGATATTGTACATCATATATAATATATACTGTATATATATATATATGGTTGGTGGTTTGGAACATTTTTTATATTTTCATGTATTGGGAATGTCATCATCCCAACTGACGAACTCATATTTTTCAGAGGGGTAGGTCAACCACCAACCAGTTATCCATTGACTATCGTGAGATTCCATTCCTAATTATCCCAGTAACATACCATCAAATCACCAACCAGTATATATATATATATTTGATTTTCAAGCGATCGGCCTCCTAGATCACTCCCGAGTCAGAGATGAAACAGTTGACTCCCCGGATCGGGGCGCCCTCCTGTGGGATTCGCGGATTCGCCATAAACAGCATTTGAACATGCCTGGTAAACCACCATATATATATATATAGATATATGGAAAATCACCATCAAATATAGGTAAATATAGGTAAATGGTCCACCATATCTTCATATCTTCCTTTTTTTCTGCCACAACTCGAGTTGCTAAAACCAAAGTCCTGTTGTGCCAACGCCATGCAATTCCATCAGATTTTCAGCTATGTCGTCTCGTGTGTGGTCTTGCTGATCCTCTTGGGAGCATCTGTGTTGGTGATCTTCCTTGCCAGATTTCGATCGCCCCTCGGCGACCCCAAGGGTGTGGGCTTTCGTTGAACAGTGAGATGTTGATTAGGTTTACCAACCATTGATATATCCATCATTCCAACCCGAGGCAACCTAAATTTATCTAGTTGGTTTACGCAACTAAACACCCCAGTGAAGTGTTTGTTGGTTTTATGATATATATATATATACATATTTATATTTATCCATCATTCCAACCCCAGGTAGCATAAGTTCATCTAGCTGGTTTAACCAACTGATCTATCATTTTGGGCACCCCAACCATCCGGCTGTTGGTTGAGAGTGAGAAAAACTTCTCCATCCCTTAAAGTCTTAAACATTTGGTGATTATATGTGGGGCACATTGTCTTGACCATTGGGTGTTGGAAGCATTTGTTTTGGCGGATCTGTTGGTACCAGTTGTGATCCCCCCCCTCACACCCTCACAGTCTACGTACGCAAGTCATGATAGAAATAGTAGGTTCATAACCATGCTGAATTCACCCAGTTTTTTCTTTTTCGGGATATTCCCACTTGAATGTGCATTCACACATATATGTATGTGCATATGTGTATGTATATATATATATTATATTTAATTACTATATGTCATATATATATGTATGCCATATTATGTATATACATGCATGCATGCATACATGCATACATGCATACATGGATACATGCATACATGCATACATGCATACATAGATACATGCATACATGCATACATGGATACATGGATACACGGATACATGCATACATACATACATACATTCCTACATTCCTACATTCCTACATTCCTACATTCATACATACATACATACATACATTCATACATTCATACATTCATACATTCATACATTCATACATTCATACATTCATACATTCATACATTCATACATACATACATACATACATACATACATACATACATATGTACACACATGTCTGTAGGTCCTCATCCTGTTTCATTTTCTGGGACGCACATCCAAGAAACAATTGTACGTTTGAGGTTTTTGATGACCGCTGAAACGTGATTCCTGAAATTCCCAAACAGTGCAACCACACTAAGGGGTTGTTAGGGCGATAGCAGGCGCTAGGTTCTCTTGAGAAAGTCTCTTGCCAGACGATCCTCTAGCGAGATCTTGTCGAAAACATCGTAAAGAAATCCTGCAAGGGCATCTTGCAAAGAGCCGACATACATAGATCCCTGAAAAAGAAGCCTCTACAGAGATCTTGTCATGAAATCTTGCACTGAACTCATTCCTCTCCAGAATTCTATCATCCACATCCCAAATCGCGATCTTGGAAAGGAAGCTGTGCAGGTGTACTTGGGCTATATGTATATATATATATATATTTAAACCTTATAACCACGCCATAACCTCCAAAAATTGGAATAGAAACCCCCCAAAAATATGGTTATCTTACAAGATCTTGTTAAATCTTGTGCTGTCTGCTGACTCCACAGTTTGGGCTCTCTTTCTTCGATAGCTTTCTACAAAAACCTTACCTATTCTGGCCACCAAGCCACATATTGTAGACATTTTAAGAAAGTCTTGGCCATCCTATAGTAGTGGCTAAATTAAATGCCTATGCCATATGAATCAGATTTGCCACTTTTGAATCTCCTATCAATATATACATACATATATATATACATACATATATAATATATATATATATATATACACATGTATACATATATGAATCAGATATCCCTAAATTATCTCCCCAGTGATTCACTTTCACTGGGTCCCATTTTGAGATACCCGAAAAGCCATCCCTTACAGATCCGCGCGTCCGGTCTGGAAGACATGGTCATCATGGTCTCCCATCCAGCTGGATGCTATACCAGAAGCGACTGGGCGGATGATCCCATTGCATCCCATTGATCCCACCATCCGACTGTTGGATGACTGTAGTGATAGCTGTAGCTCTGAAATAGAGCTACCCTCTGGTTATGTCAAAATAGCTATTGAAAATGACCATTAATAGTGGATTTTCCCATTAAAAATGGTGATTTTCAATAGCTACGTTAAATTACCAGAGGGTACTTTTTTTACGTATGTGGTAGAATCACACAACTGTATCAGTGAAGGAAACAGTCCCCTTTCATGAGCTTGATGACAACTAGTAGCTGGCCATTTTGAACCCAGTGACATGATAGCCAGTACGACAATGAGTATCTTTTATGGTTTCATATCCCATCAACAACCCCCATTCCATCCCTAAGTATGATTGTTTTGTTTGAACATGCCATAAATGGGAAGTGCGATTTTTTTCCAGGTAACACCACCATTCTGTTTTGATAGTAAAACACACGTAATTTGTCATATTTGTTGGTTAATTCCACCATTGCTTGGTAAACAGCCAGGAAATCCAGGGAAGATCATCATGTTTTGCTAGTGAAGTCCGTTTTTGTCGGTTAAACGAGCATTTTTCAAGGAAAAAACACGCACTTTCATGGTTTTCCCGGGCATCAGTTGATGGTAAAACCGCACCTGTTTCGCCAAAACGAGATTCCCAGAGAGCTGGCAAACTGGGCTGCGGTCTATGCCGGTGTAATTTGCTGATAAAACCACCCTTGGATATGCAGTAACCATAGTATACCATAGTAAAATTGGGCCCCATAATCCAAGTTATATATCATAATAAATTCCATGGTCATATCTATAGTCATCCTGGAGTAGAAGTCAGTATGGACGTGTCAAAAAGTCCTCACTAAAATGAGAACATCTTTGAACATCCCATACTCGATCTACTCCAGGATGATTACATATCACCATCGTATAAACTAGGGTTTATATATGTTTATATATATATATACATATATATATATATATAGATAGATATCTCAAGTTGTCATAGTAATTCCCGTGGCAGTATCTATTCATCAGCCTAGCTGCCCAATTTGGCAAGCGTTAGGTGACCCTCTCAACAGATGAGACCTGCTGTGTCTGCATGGAGCAGTTGGCTGCTGGTGCACGTGCCAGGAAACTCTCGTGCAATCACGTGTTCCTTGAGCAATCAGGGGTTGAACCATGAAAAATGAGGATCTACGCATTAAGGAGCTGGGGATCACATGGAGACTTCATTGGGAGACATGTTTTTGGAAATGATTTTTGGGCATTTGAAAGACAACTTTCCCCAAACAATGGCTGATTTCAGGTCTATCTCACCTTTTGGTGATGGTCAATTTTGGCCCATGAAATGCCCTCTGTAATTTGTTACATAGCTATTGAAAATGGCCCATTTATAGTGGATTTACCCATTGAAAATGGTGATTTTCCATAGTTATGTTAGTTTACCAGAAGGTAGCAACCGTCTTCAGTGACCAGCGGATCGTGCTAGATGGGAGTTCCAACAAGGCCCCAGAGGTCATGGAGTTTCGAGACGGCCTGGATTGCCACAGGAGTTGGGATGTAGCCCTATTTATGGCCTTAGTTTCCTTCTTTGTAAGTGGAACTGCACTCGTATTTCTTGTACTAAGAATGATATTTGACCTTCTCAGGCAGTCCGAAATTCACAGCCATCACAAAAATTGGCTTCAAAATTGGGTACACCTAAAATTGGCTGGTGAATCAATGATCAAAGTCTCACCTGCGGTCCAGTGGGCTTCCCCTTCTGGGATTGGATACTGATTTCGCTGGGGCCCCAGTTCTGTTTGTTGCTTAAGACTCATCTATAACAATCCCCAAAGAGATAGAAACAATGGAAACCTGGAACATATGGCGGGAAACCTCATCTATACAATTCGACCAGCATCCTGGAAACACGTTTCTATCTTTTTGGGGCTGTGCTATATAGATATCTACCGGACACCATCGTGAATTTGCAAAGTTGCAGCCGCCAATGGAGTATTTCCACCGTGGCTTCGCCTGAAGATTTGAAAGATCCCCATTTTTTTTGCACGTCAACGGATGATTTTTTTGGTTCCAGCTTGGGAACAAAGCCAACAATGCCAACAAGCTCAGGTTTCATGGCGCCTGCATCACATCTTGGTGGAAGAAGGAACTCTGGAACAAAGCCAAAGCCGGGGCAGCCGCCACCGTAACGTGCCCCATGTGTCGCTGTGCGGAGCCCCGAGCTTTGGTACAACGCGACCAGGACGACGGCGAGAACGAGAGCACAGTAGTTGCTCGCGTCGACCCAGTGTGAGCCAACTTTAGAAAAAAAACTTTGCCATTTGGGACCGATCCAGAAACGGTGAATCTGTTCCAAAGGTCGATGTTAAAAGATAAACGTGTTTGAACATGATGGCCATTTGTAGCCACTCAATCTGAGTGGGGAAAATGAAGGTTTTTAGGCATTTTCAAAGCACGGGATATTGCAGGAAAGCGCAGAATTTTCAGACAAAGCCTGAGCCATGCTGGGTACAAAACCCAGGTGTACTTCAATACAGCGAGCGGCCTGGTTCCCCGCGGAAAATCCCACCGTACTTTTTAGAGAAGTTTTGGATTTTGCTGAGTCGATGTTTTTTGGTTTTCAATTTTGATATAATCCACCAGAAAAAGGGATTTCTATGGGAATTTATATAGCATTTCCCCCAAAAAAAGAAAGACAAATTCCACAGAAATGTAGGGAACATGACTTTTCTATCTTGTTTTTCCCCACATTGACGTGTGGGGTTTTTGTTTTTAGTTCTGTATCCGCTCCTCGTCCTCCTCCTCCTTCCCGTCCTCCCTCCTCATCACTCTCACTCTCACTCCCACTCTCACTCTCACTCTCACTCTCACTCTCACTCTCACTCTCACTCTCACTCACTCTCACTCTCACTCTCACTCTCACTCTCACTCTCACTCTCACTCTCACTCTCACTCACACTCACACTCACACACACA